CATGCAGTTGTGTTTTGATCAGATTTCATCAGGCAGTGGTGTCTCCATGGTAACATAAGCAAGCAAAAGAACACCATCATCAGAGTGTATTATTGCTAAATTCAGATGTGTGTGTGTGGAAATACCTGACATTGCTTTCTTCCAGCTTTTTAGGCTGGTAACGGTGTATTTGTGTGGACCTCAGAGCTCAATAACAAAGAGATAATTGAAGGAATAGTTTGACATTTTTGGAAATTATTCGCTTTCTTGCCGAAAAGATTGATGCTACTGCCATGGGTGGTATTGATCTTCTCATCTAACTCTTGGGGAAAAAAATGTGAATGTTCCAAGAATGTAAAATTATTTCTTAAAAAAATAGTTTTCAGGTGGTTTATGACTCTGATTAAGGTTACAGTTAGGTTTATGTTAGTGTGCAAGGGCTGAAGGGGATGTAATTATTCCAACGCATGCTGTATATTATTATATTTGCAGCCTCATGAAGAGGCTGCAAATATCCAAAGATTTAAATAAATTCTTGTATTGTTACATGCTAATGCAGTTTTACAGTAATATAACCAACAATTATTGCAGGCTGAACATTTGTTTGATGGATTATAACTCTAGCAATTTCCAGAAGTCTACTAATTGATTTTCGTACCGTATGGAAATAAATGTAAACCACAGCGTGGAAAAACAAGAGCATGGTTTGCAAAAAATAATCATTAGTAATATTAAGTATTCTTAATGTGTACTATAAAACATGCAAAATCAATGCTACGGTCTGTTAGGATTAAAGTTGGAGGCTGGGGAATGCATGAAGGGTACTCGCAAGTATATAAGTGCAAATATATGTGTGTGTGTGTGTTTGGTTTCAAGCTTTTTGCATGTGACCCAGGGTCCCTGAGCTGCTAAAAGCACAACATTCAACTCAATTAGCGGCATGCATAATTGATAGCTGTCTGGGAGAGTATTTGTATTTACACTGGAATTAAAAGCCTCCGGTGTCAGCTATCACATCTGAGGGGCGATAAGGGTGTGCGTGTGTGTGTGTGTGTTCTAGTAGGGGAATGTATATGTACGTAGGGATGCATGTATGTCATAAGCCTAAATGGATTGCTGCTGTGAGCTGCTTCTTCTCTCTGCTGCAGTGAAAATTAAATCAGCAACAGCCCTTCGGCTTAAATGGTCTTTCTTTCAGATTCCGTTGTTTTCACCTGTTTTCTGATTCAATCCCCGGTAACTGGATTTGTGCACGAATACCAAAATGAAACTTAACTGTAAGATGTCGGACTATATAAGATGTGAACTTGTTTTTCTAAAAAGTGCTTTAATTAAATAAAGATTGTTTCAAATATTGAAGGGATAGTTTGATACTTTGGGAAAAATGCTAATTTGATTTATTGCCAAGAGTTAGATGAGTCTCACAGCGTGCAGTAATGGAAAATCTGCTAAGTTAGCGCTTGATCTAGCATAACAAGACAACAGGCGTAGAGCCTGTCTCTGTCCAGACGTCGCCAGGCAACCAGCTGAGACTCCAGGAAGTCACAGCTAATTTGTACCGAACCAAAACTTTCTCCAGCACACACAACCCCTCATAAAACTAACAGCTTGTCACTTTTATACTTTGGTTTGGAATAGATTTGCGAAATCAGACTAACTCGTGTTAATTAGTAAACTTCAGAAGTGCTTGTAGGTGGATTTTATAACTGTTTCCAGTCTTTGTGTTATGCTATGCTAACCAGCTGCTGGTGGTTTAACTTCATATTTACTGTACAAACATAAGAGTGGCATCAATCTTCTCATCTAACTCCAATTTTGTCTAATACAAGCAGCCATGCAACTGCCCTGCATAAATAAAATGGTCTGAAACAGGCAAGAAGCTGTTCAAAGAGTAGGAATCTGTCCAGACATTCGATGCCAACTTTCAGTTCTTAAAAGTTTATAAATAAATAAATGTAATGAACTATTCTAGTTGTTAGTGCCATGAAATATAAATTGATTTAAATTGAATTGCTCATGTGTTTACTTATAAATTAATTCTTTTTGACTCATAACTTTGTACTTTTTCTATCCATATATTGCACATTTAATGTAGATGTGATTTGCTCATGGTGAAAAAGCAACTTCTTTTGAATGTAAAATTACAATATTTTAGCATATTTTCAACACCCATTTTGTAGCTTTCATACCCAAAGATTAAAAACATGTCCCTGCGAAAAAAGATTTAATGGGCCATTAAAATGCTCTTAATGGTTCCAGGGGTTTCTTTCTTGTTTTTTTTTAAGGTGAAAAAAATAATTAACTCTTAGTAATGTGATTTGTTAACCAAATTTCAGTTCTGCAATGTTACTTCTGGTGTAGGCTGCAGGAATTCAGTCCCAGGTTCACTGGAGTGAGACAAGTACTTGCAAATCGAGTACTTGAGGGACCACTAGAAGGACGTCTGCTTGACCAAAATGTGTCACCGCCGCCTCCAGCCTCCTGAGCCTGTGCGGCGGAGTATTGAACAGCCTGTTGACTTCGGCCAAGGTCACCTTCCTGTCGGGTGAAAAGCAGCTGTTCTGGAGTTAAGTGAGGCTCTGGTATTGAGTTCATCACCTATTTGATTCAGAGAGGAGAAAAACCTGCAGTCACCTTCACTCCGCTCAATCATATCTTCCCCCCTCGGCTCACTGTAATACGCACCAATCCTGAGCGTATTAGAGTGCCTTCACCCATTTCCTCCCCACTTATTTTTTTCCTTTTTCCTTGTGCTTCTTTTCAAATCTTACCCTTTACACTCTCGCTTGTAATGATGGTAATCTAAGCCTATTTTCACTGTTGCCCTTTTAACTCTAATAGTAGCAGCTGACCTAGACTCATCTCTGCTTACAAGCAACTCCTAACGAGCATCCATGAGCATGTAGGGCTGGTTCCTAAATTCATCTCTCACTTGTTTTTTTGGAGGAATTGATTAATAGTTTAATCAATAAAACATCAAGAAAAAGGGGAAAACGCCCCATAATTTCCCAAGAGTCAAAGTTGGTTATCGTTAAATTGGATGTTTTGTCCGACCAGCAGAAAAAACAGCAAATAATTACATTTTTTAAAACATATTTGTTTGTTTGATGATTTAATTGATAAATAGAGCTGGAATAATCTGTGTATTCATCAATTAGTCCAGTGAAGGAAAATTGATTAGCAACTATTTTGATTATCAATCAATAATTTGGAATTTTTCAAGCAAAAATGCCATCACATTCTCACATTAACGCCTCAATTGTGAGGATCTGCTTGTTTTCTTTGTTGTTGTTTTTTATATAGTAAACTCCCCTAAATATATACCAATTATCAAAATGAATTCATACATTTCTGTTGCTCAACTAATTGATTAATCCACAGATTCAAAGAAAACAGTTTGTGCTTTGTTATTTCTTTTAAAGACACTTGTAATGTTACCCAGTACTTGTCTCTAACATAACAGCATCATAATCACTCTAAGATCTTTTGGTTTTAACAGTCTCCCTAATTCTGGCATGGGGGAGAGAGGGAGGGATGTTGTAGTAGAGAGCGGGGGGAGGAGGTGGATGTGTGTGTGTGTGGTTGGGGGGGTGAGATGAGATAGAGGGTTTAAGATCCGGTCCATCCATCCTTCAGTCCTCCCAGACTTGAAGTGGGCCAGCAGACGACCTGATCTGACTGTTATTCATCTAACGAAGCTTTTTTCCCGCTCCTGCTCCAATCAAGGTAACAGGACCAACTGAGTTATTATTACACGTACGCAGGAGTCTTTCAGTATGTATAGTAGCTCCTTGTAAACGAAATTAAAAAATGATTGTGAGGGAAAATTCTTGTATGTGATTAGTTCAATTACTACTACTTTATCTATTTTAAAAAAAAATCCCCTCTCTGTTGGCCTTCTGCGTTTGACTGGCATGATGATTTTTACTTGTTATTATTTTAGATTGTAGCATTCAGTGTCATTAGACTGATGCTGGATTTAGATTTGCATGTTTAAGCTTGTATCTGATGCTCTTATCTTGTAGAACAGCCTTTAATTTGTAGCTGACCAACAAAACAGCCAATAAAAAGTGGAGGAATACAAATACCAGAGGCAAAGTTTGCATTAAATTGCAGAGGAAACATCACATTAACCCATATTTGTTTGCAATCCTGTTCCAGCATTACTGTGCTTTTATTATTTTCTCATGTTTTAGTGTTTTGATTGTTTTTTTCCAAGGCATTTTGTAACCTGTTTCTGTCTAAATGCTGCCCTATAAGTTAAATGTCTTTGGCTCAGCTCCCCTAGTTTCCTGATAATGTCTCTGTGACCCTGCAATGATCATGTGTGAGTGCAGTGCTGCATGGGAAGAAGGAAATAAAATAAGAGCTGAGGGGAGACATCGTTTTTTGTTGCTCCAAGATAAGAGGATATTACAGCTCGTGGAAGAGGGCTTATAGGAGAGGAGACATCATTCAGCGGGGGAAAAGGGTTATGTGAAGTACTTCTTGAAGAGATGAGTTTTCAGCCTTCCAGGGAAGATGGTGGGTGTCTCTGCTGCTCCGAATTGCCCGGGAAGGTCATTGTGTCTGTGGGAGGACGACGTGTGTGTTTATGAGATGAAATTGTAGAAAAATACAGAAAATACTAAACTGTATCTGCAGGGGAAATGATGCTTTCACACATTTATATTACTCTAATCAGCTATTGAACTGGTAAATGTAATTTAAAGCACATTATGAACTGACAGAGACCTATAAACCTTATATTTATTTACCATTATACTGAAGCCATATACAGTCTGGAGAGTCTGGGTTTGTCTTTGTTAATATGTGTGAAGATGATTTAATTTAGAGAGAGAGCAGAAGCTGCTGTTATCAGTTACATGAGCTTTGTTGTGATGGCTACTTGTGATGAGCGTTAATTAATATTTCTTTTAACCAGCTTCTTCCTCGCCTCTCTAACTTCAATCTGATGATGATCACAGTGATTAAGATACTGAGAAGTTTAATCTGCTTTTGTTGTGCGCCGTGTTTTTCAGATGCAGTGCAGCTGTAGCTCTTCAGTGGGACACCTTTCAGCGCCCTACTGGAGCAGAAGTAAGGGCGGTTTTTGGTCCGCGTGTGTTTGCGTGTCCTCTCTCAGTTATTTACATGTGTGGGTTGTCATTTGTGTGGGAGATTGTTCACGTTTATGTAAGAGTTATTATGTATTCGTTCAGTGCTGTGTGCATCTGCCTCTAATGCAGTAGCGTGAAAATAATAATGAAATAGTGAAAAACAAAGTGAAAGGCAACATGTCACCTCTGACTAATGATGCAGTCCCCCTCTTGACCAATCAGGAACCAATTTTGTAAGTTGCCCTGTTTTGACTTGTTATTTTGAGCACCCCCTGTAGCTCAATGTCACTTTTCTTTTCTACGGAAGACCAGACTGGACAAGAATATCTTTTTTTATTCTTTTATGTCCACCGGATCTGACCCCGTGGTAGGCATTAAGAATAACTATATTGAAATAGCCAGATGGTCGCTAATGGTTTGTGTTTGTAGATCATATAGGCATCAATATGAAATTACACCTGTTTCATAACCAGTTAAAAACTCCTTGCATTGTCTTGTTTATTTCAAATTCCAGGTTTGTTTGATGAGCTAAACCAAAGAAGACGTGAAGTGCATGAACTCCTTAAACTCCTTTTTTTTAAAATATCATATCTAAAAGAAGAATCTAATGATATCTGCTCTGCTCTGAGAAACATTAACCTTTCCAACAAAAGATTGTGTCATGATCCCAACATAATGAGCTTGAAATAGTTTCCTCATAATGACGGAGTGATTAGTTCACAGGAAAACAAAGCTTCATGATCAGAAGAAAAGATAATGGAAGAAATAATCACACATGTCCTATCTGGCCGCAGATAATGTTTTGCACGACACGTCTTATTGAAACAACATTAACATCTTCTCCGCTTCAAAAAATATGTTACTTGCTAATTTTGAGTGGTGAAATGTTTAATCTTACCGTGTTTTGTCAACATTGAATTAATAGTAATTTGTGACACATTGTTATTCAAACAAATTAATGAACAAAGGGAGAAGAAAAAAAAATCAATGTCGAATAAGGACTAAGCACATCAGCCAACTTCAATCCAGTGACTCAACAGACACGAGGCAGTATCTGGAACAATGAGATCTGGAGCCCACGGTTATATTAGGAGCTTTTTAATGAGCAGCAGAGGGGGGTGGAAGAAGTACTCAGATCGTTTACTTATGTAAAAGTAGCAAAAATACAGTATAAAATATATTTTGTTACAAGTAAAGCTTAGGCATTCAAATTCTTACTTAAAGCAGCTGCAAGGAACCCTCATGTTTTGTTGATTCTGGCGGCCCCTGTGGACAAACGTGGTACTGTTTCCACCACATTAAAGTTAAAAACTTCCTGTTGTACGTTCAAGTAAAAGTATTGACATCAAAATATAACCAAAAGTAAAAGTGGCCTCTATGAAGAATGGCCCATTTCAAAATCATATACAGTATATTACATTATTGGATTATAATTATTAATCTAAAATATGTTCATCACTTTAATATTGAAGCTGCAGGTGAAGCTAATTAAAAATACTGCTGGGTAGCTTGTAAATGTCTCTCCAGTGATCAATAAAGTTTTACTCTAATCTATAATATTACCACATAATATGCTTGTTGATTATATTTTGTATTATTAGTCAAAGAGTAAGAAGTATACTATTTGCCTCTAGTGGAGTAGAAAGTAGCAGAAATTGGAAACACAACAGCATCAAAATGAAAGAATACATTATTAATCAGAGCGCTCCCATAAGAATGTATCACTGGCAGAGGGTTAAATATTCTTTGAATTTATGAACAAAATCAGCAGGAGAAGGCACGTAATAGCTGACCTGTTGTTCCCCTTCTGTCTAAAGATTGCTACAACGGGAGAATTAGAAAAAGTTCTGTTTCTAAGCACCAAAAGCAAGAAGGTGCAGATCTATTGATCTCCATCGCTCCACTTCAGTACTATAGACAGCACAGCCCGATAGTAACATGTACATCGACCGATCAGCTTGTTGATTTCCTTAAATCAATTGTATCAAGATACAGCATGATGTAAAATATGGTACATTTAAATAAAGCAGCCACCCATCTAACAAATGAACTGTCTGTGTTAGGCCTACATAGCATAAAATACTCCCCAAAAGCCGACACGACAACTACCTGCTTCTCATGGCCAATACTGATTAGATATCCAACATTTTTGTATTTTAAAAAGCAGTTTATAACCTGTAGTTCATCAAAGAAAAAGGCTTAAGAAAGGTTTAGATGTGGTGGGCAAAGAGATGGATGGTTTAATATTCAATAACTCCGTTCTAACCAAATTTAACCGACACACAACAAAACACAGTTCTGACTCTTCAAATGTTCATTAATTTTTTTCTCATAAAGTTCATTAATAAACTTCACAAACATGTTTTTTATATAACAAAAAGCCTATCAATCATTTTGCACAAGAGATACATACATTTTTTTAAATATCAACCAATAATTTATCGGCTGTAAGTTAATTTATAATAATATAAATGTCCCATTATCGGCTGATAATTTATCTGTTCTGATAATAATCATACATCCTTACCAAAAAGTATTCTAAACGTATAGTTCCACATTTTAGAAAATACGTATCTTCGCTTTTTTGGAGAGAGTTAAATGAGAAGATCGATCTGTCTTTTTATGTCTGTGCAGTAAATATAGAGCAACAACCAGCAGCTCATTAGCTTAGCTTAGCTAAAAGACTGGAAACGGGGGGAAACTGCTAGCGTGGCTCTGCCCAAAAGTAACAAAATCCACCTACCTTCACCTCCGAAGCTCATTAACTAACATGTTGCCAAAATGTTGAAGCTTACATCTTTAAAAAATGCCACAACACAGAGATGTCTAACTACTTTAGCTTCACCAAAATCTGATTGGAGGTTTCTCAAATTAACAAATGAACTTAACTTCCCGCTCATTTACACAACTTCCTCATGTCTCTCCAGCAGTGCTGTTCCCTGACTGGGCCTACAAACCGGCTTGGTCGCCCGGCTCCAGACAGGTGCAGCTGTGGCACTTCCTGCTGGAGCTGCTGGGGCGGGGCGAGGGCGGGGCCATCGGCTGGGGAGGGGAGTGGGGCGAGTTTGTCATCCGGGACCCCGAGAGGCTGGCCAGGCTGTGGGGGGAGAGGAAGGGGAAACCGCACATGAACTACGACAAACTCAGCCGGGCACTCAGGTGATGCAAAATGCACGAGTTGGACGAAGTGGACACGTTCACACTGGCTTCACACACACACACACACACACACACACCTATGGGTTGAATGTGTGTAATCCTCCCTCAGGCTGATGCTGTAAATAAAATGTACTCCTCGCAAACATATGTTGTCAAATTAAAAATTTAAATCTAAAATGCCCACAGATGCAACACATGCCATTTGGGAAGCACTTTTATCTTAAGTGCCCTACAGGAACCTGAGTGCATAGCATAGACACACACACACACACACACACACACAGACACAATCAGAGTGTAGTCTGACACAGAAAACATTTTATTTCCAGATACTACTACAACAAACGCATCCTGCACAAGACCAAAGGGAAAAGATTCACCTACAAGTTCAACTTCAGCAAACTCATCCTGGTCAACTATCCAGGACACCCGGCACCGTCCGGCCATCAGGTCATCACCACATCTTTGCATCTCATGTCACAACTTAAAGGACTTCACTGCTTGGAAAACTGGCTTCTAGGTTATATCGCTTCTATAAAGTGATCTAAAAATGCATCTATTCTGTCTCTGATACTTGTAGTTTCCTCGTCACATGAGCAGAAAATTTGATCCGTTTTCCAAAACATGGGTGTAGTCCTTTAAGAAGAGTTTTATTCCAGAAACAATTACCTTAACTGTATTATTTAATATTAAAAAATGGACTTTAATAGAAACAATTACTCCAACTTTATCATTTAATTTAAAACTGACGAGAATAGAAATCATTATTAGAACTTTATCATTTAAAATGAAATTGACTGATCCGCTAATGTGGAGGGGAGTCAGTGTGTTACAGTTATTACACATTAACAGGCAGACCGAGGGCTTAGGTTACCTTTGGAAAGCACCATATTTTATTTAATTATACGATTAATTCTGCAAGAGTTGGGATTAGTAAGCATGTGCTTTTGTCTATTAAGGTATAAAAAAAGTGCTGTCCGTTTAAAAAACACCATCCGAGGTTGGAATAAAACTCTTAATATCATGTACTGTAATTAAGTGTTTCACCATATTTCAATGTTAAATGAGGCCACTAGTGTGCAAGATATCAGGAACACCTTCCTGCTATTAAGCTGATTAATGTCTTAATCATCCAAAGAGCTTCTTTAACTTTTTCCTGCCTCCTCTTAACCACATCGGCTTTGATCTACAGTATATTTAATGAGTCCAATCAGTAAGAGATCCAAAGCTTCACCTGGTGTTCTTAATGTTTTGTGCACACAGTGTCAGACTATATTTTATTGAAAAGATCCATGTTCCCATTTCAACCATCCTCCCATCTCATCCTCCATCCTCCACCACCCCCCTCCTCCCCTCTCCAGCTGCTACAGAGCGGCCCTGTTCCCTACCCCCTCCTCCCCGCTGAGAGTGGTCTTCCTCTGTGTGGAGGAGCAGGGTCAGTGATGGACAGAGGTAAGAACACGCCCTTCAGCGACTCAGGTAACATCCACAGGGTCCAAACAAGTCTCACACAGTGTCTGTTCACAACTGGCAACTGTGTGTTTATTTGGTGTGTAGTCTGAGAGTGAAGGAGACCACCAAAGTGAGATTTATTGCGGAAAAACCTCCCAGATATTGGATCTAAGAATTGAAGTATGAGATGTTATTCTATATGTTTCTTACTGTCAACAAAAGCCCAAACAACCCCCAAACACAATTGTTTCCTCCTGGAGACATAAAACCTTTAAAATGGGTCATAAATATGTACGTTTTATAAGAACAAGACTTCTCTATTGATATGATCAACACCAGAGATTGGACTGTACTTTACAAGGAGAAAAGAGAAAATACAAACTCATACACACATGAATAAAGTGTCTGTTGTTGATACACATTTGGTATTTACAGCAGGCAACAGAGGAATAAGATCAGGCATTGGCTGCATATATACAATACTTGATTGGATCCTTTATGCCTCTTGATTAAGAATTCAGTGAAGGCAGTGACTGCAATATTAGCTGGACTGAAAATGTAGGTGGAACACCGAGAAATAAACAATCACTTTTCCATCCTCCTCATATTCACTCGGTTCACTACATCACATAAACTCACACCTATAAATGTTCGAGTGCTGCAAAAAGTCCTGAAGTTTTTCAAGCCACAAAGAAACAGCTTTTTTTCTGCTGTGTTTCACTCTGTAATTTTCTCCTATTTCAAGGTGAAACACGAGGCGTGCCGTGGAAAATAATGCAGGGATGGAGTTCAATCTTGACCTTGAAGGCAATTTCTGGGGGCGGTTTTCAAAATGAATAAGTTCTAGGATGTAGCTAATATCAGCACCCCTGTACTACCATCCAGGGGCGTGTCCAGATGTTTTTTAACGGGGGTGGCATGACGTTTGTGTCTCAGCTTCCCAGTCAGTCCTCAATTATGCAATTACAACACTGTTTGTTATTCAAAAACACATTTATATAACAAGAAACCTGGGATCACATTAGCCTAACTTTGGAGCATTATTTAGCCCTCTACCTGACATGGTTGCTACCAATGGATTCTTTAAGTCATCTAGTTCAATATGAAACCAGTATCTTCACTGCCACTATGCACCCTGAACACTGTAATACAGAAGGTTTATTATTCAGAATCTGTTGAGGTCCGTCAATGAAGTGCAACAATTGTGCAGCTTCTGATTAAATAAAAGCAGAATTTCAATGTGAAACACATCGAATGAGAGAGTTTGTCCAGTTGCAATGAAAGTTTAAAGCGAGTGTGTGAACCTTGAGTTTTGATTTGTCAAACTACCGAGGACCGAGGTCAAGAATGGACAGGATTTATTTCTTTCATTACTTTTGTCACCAAAAGGTCAAAAATGTGTAATTTATGTTCAACATCAGACTGTTTTTTACTGTGAACGACTTAATTCCAGTCAAAGCTTCATGTATTTTTATCCATTTATTATATGAATGTATGAATATTCATGTGTATCTGATTAAGTATCATTAAACTCTAAGCTCTCTCTCTCTCTCTCTGTTTCCTGACAGCGGTCCAGGCTGTCCCTTATCCCTTCCTGCTCCCGTGCTGCCTCCCTAAGCCCATCCCGACGCCCCGCGCCCTCCACGGCCACTTCCCCTTCATCTCCGCCCCTGGGCGTCTGGGGGCCAACCTGAGGGAGCTCCCGCCTCTCGCCTCGGCCCTCCACGCCAGCGCCGACGGCTGGCCCCACAAGGGCCCCGCAGGGTGGGATCTGAACCACATCGGTCGAGGCCTGCTGCTTGGTGGAGGGAAGCAGACTGAAAGACAAGGAGAGGAGAGGAGAGCGGGGAGCGACGCACAGATGGGGGAGAGAGAGTGAAGAAGGGGGAACAAACTAACAGATGGACTGCTTTTCCCCTCTTCTAATATCCACTCTTTTAGCTCATTGTATAGATTATTATTCCCTATATTTATTGAGTTGGACCATGATGTGTGTATTTTATTTTGTTTTCTTTTATAGAAATAACTGAGGATGCTGCTTTTTCTTCTGTCAGCACTTCACGCCACAGTAGGGGGAATTGCACTTGTAAACAATTAACAACATAGCACTTGTGTTTTGAGTAAATAAAAAGCAGTGCACTCAACTTACATTATTCAGCTGTTTGTCTTGCATTCGTTCGCCCTCCTTCTTCGGGCCTCATGAAAATAATAAGAGCTGCATATAAATGATGCATTCAAACAGGCGCTGTGAAATTTTCATGAAAGGGAGCTTTTTCATGTCTGCAGCATCAGGACCTGCCACCGGTTGTCTGCAGTGGCCACCCCGACACAGCAGGGGGCAGTAGCATCGTTTGTTGTCCCGCGGCTTTCCCCGGCAGAGACTCAGAGCTGAGACGTGTGGAAAAATGAGGAGGTGTCACTCGGTTGTTATTTTTCGGGTACCCTAAATTTAAATCAGTTTATCGTTTATTATTATATTATTACTTTACATTGTATTTATTATATATGTATATACTTTTTAAATATCTTATTAAATTATTCGATGTGTTTTTTATTATATTATTATT